GGCATTAGTTTGTTTCTTGATATAAAAATTTAAAACTCGTGACCAATGTTTACGTAAGATCAGTATTTATTATTAGTTTGTTATGTATGATAAGGAATAAAATATTAAGTGCTACTTAATTATCGCTTTTGTTTTCAAGTTCAATGAGTATGAGCAAACTGGAAAAATCTGCCCGATTAAAACTCAAACAGATTTCAATGTTGTAAGTAGTACAATTCAGACAAAAAGTTGAAACTCATAAGTAGTCTACACTGAAGCATCGAACAAAATTAGATATTGTATCAATATTGCAGCGTTGTAAAGGATTGTACAAAGGAAACTAATCATACTAGTTAGTTTATGGAGGATTTCATATGACAAATTATTTATACTTCAATATTTTTTAAGTAAAACTGCATATACTATGATAGTTTCTTTTATTCAAAAGCCTTATAGTAATGAGGTTTTTATCATATCTGTACATAACTATTAATTGTTACAGTTTTGTTATATAATTCAAGATGGTAAGTTCATTTGATACATTTGAACTGAACTGAACCAACGAACCATTCATCATTAATATAGGTCATTTCCACTGAATGCTCAAATGTGTACTTAAATTTTAATAGAAATAAGGACCGGGTTGAGAATTGGAAGCAGACATCAAAAGAATGAGTAGTAACTGGGATAGGGTTCGAAGGAGAATCCTGGTGGGCGGCTTATGCTCCTCCACGACAGGTAACAGGTGTAGGTAAGTAAAGATCGAGCTAGGAGTTTTTGGCAATTTCTAAAAAGATTATATTAAGTAAGAACGTATAAATGTCGAGTTTTAAAATTTACCAAAACCCGTGATTATCAAAATATATCTTGTGGATTTCTCACTTTCCCCGATATCTACAAAGACAGATTGAAACTATCAGGAGTGTCTCCATTCGGATCAATTAATGGAAAATATAAATCTTAATTATAGTCGCAAATGCATAACTTCGTACGAAGGGTTATTTAAATATGAAAATAAAAGCGAGTAAAGAGTAACACAAAACTTAGGTAGCTACTTTTAGTGAATTAGTTAGTATATTTATAATGAGTGTTTGTTTAACAATTCTTTAATATATTTCTATACAGTCTATAAGTGTTGAAGTCATGGTGTCTTATTAAAGTGAATCAGTTCTTTCTATTGCAGAAAGAAGAGTGAATGTGCTGGAACCATAAGGAAACCTGAATGAACTGAAAGTATTATGACTTCTGGCCTGCCGATTCTCACAAACAGAACATGACGTATACAATCTCAGTATTGTGCCAAACCAATGACGTGTTGACTGCTACGAGCACCCTGCAATCCTTATTGACACTTCATGCCTAGCTTCGCCTGTTGAGTCCAGAACACCAATATCAGCTTCCACTATATGAATTGTGTTTCAGACATACTTGATTTATATACAAGTAAACCAAACCGCATCAAGCCATAAAATAAAAAATAATGATTATACATGATCAAGCCCAAAAGTGCCTGTGAATGTGAGAGACTGTAACGAATAAATTGGGAATAAACTAAGACTAGTAAATCTTATGATAGTAGTCAATGGGTCAAATTAAAGCTTATGATAAAAGGAATATAAATACATATATAATCTAGTTACTTAACAGTTATACAAAAAGAATATGTATATAATATTAGTCTATTAATGGTTTCCGGAAGTTATCAGTACTTTATTTTCTTCGGATATAACAAGAAGTACGAGATGATGCATAAAAACAAAGTTTTCAAACTCTTTTGTTCCCTGTTGATCGCGTGATTCAACTTCAAAATACAACCCTTTGTGTCATCACTTTGAGTTGTTCATTTACTAGTGCTCATCAGTTGCTGTTCGTGTGTTGTTCAGGTCTTTCCTGAGCCCTAATGAACCACCACAGCACAGGTTACCAGTCATCATTGAAAACCACATTTTCAATCATCCATTATTAAGATAACTTTTACAGCTCATTAAATCTAATAGACTATGTGTTACTCATTTTTTGTACCAAAAATGTTCATGTTGTGTACTCTCTGAGAAACATTATTTGTGATGCTTCATAGTCTCATATTTTACGCATATAGTCACGTGAGTTCTATGTCTAAAATACTCATCATTGTTTCTGGTGTTTTGCTTAGTGGTTTGGATACATATTGTATTGTGTGGCAAATCGATCACATGAGAAATATAGTAATTCAATTAATGAACTTTTTATTACAGGCACAGTGGAAAATCTATCATAGTTGTTGATATACATGAAAAGAAATTAAATTGTTGATAAAGGTGTACAAAAATATATAACTATGTATTCAGCGAGAATAAAAGATACTTTGCAAAAGTAGAGAACAAACCAGTAGAATATTTTCTTTACTAAACACAATAATATTTAAAAAACGAGAATAAATTGACTCCATAATAAATATAATTATGTGATATTCAAATGTATAGACATAGGCATTTTGGCGTTTCGTGACTCAATCTAAGTAACTTCTTCAGGGTAACTAACTAAATTGACTTCGTTTTCTAAAATTCTACAACAGAGATTCATTCACAAAAATTGAAAATTATTTCAGCAAAACTCGGTTGATTAGCTCCTAATTTATGTTAATCAATCCTATATTTAGCCATCTATTGGCAAATTATTGTTTATTTTGTGTAAGACGATGCAGAGTATACCATTAGATTACAAAAAAGCGAAATGTAAAAAATCGACTAATGATTATACTCTAAACGTAATACAATGAAGAAATATGTGCATAAATAGATCACTATTTCAAATGATTTAAAATATGAAAATAATTTTGAAAACTTTAAAACAACGATATGTAGACCATTGATTAAACACACTTGGCAAATACCAAACACAGTGAGATGCCAATGTTGTCTTATTAACCAATTGATAAAACGTGGAAAACCAGAAATCTGAATTTTTGTTTCATAAAACACGTTCTACTATGTAACATGAATAAGTTCTTTTCGAAATCTAAAGCTAATTCACTCTATCTCGTGAGTTAACGTTTTTAAATAAAAAAAATCTAATCCATCTGATCTACTAAATACAAATACTTATTTAATTGGTATGTAGCATTATTGTTTCTGTTAGTGATGGTGTAGATTTAAACCGAATTACTTGGAGTGGGTTTTAAACCTACAAATTAGCGATTAAAAGTCAAGTAAGTTTCATTTGAAGACATACAAACCTTATACTTATCATTGGGGTAAACATGTACATGGATATTGATTTTACCAGAAAGACCTTGAGAGTCTTACGAACGAGTATTGACTTTTTTAGCACCGAATTCACAATAACTCGGGATACAACTAGAAGTTTGATAAAATATTTCACCGTTAGATATTTCATCATATTAAAGATGAAAATTAAGATCCTGTTTGATCAGTTTACATCCATACCATTAACATAAAGTATTAAATTGTAACGAAGAAATGCAAACGTTTGTTGATAGAAATTCATGCAATCGGTAACCTTTACTTAATTAAACAAAACGAAAACATAGTATTTGTACAATATGGTGAATTCACTGTATTTCGTTGCCCTCTCAAAAGTAATGTACAAGCCATTAAGTTAAACTGATTCAAATTTTCAACAGAATGCTTAAAAATGAATTATCAACCAATAACAAATAAAATGTTAGAAATTTGAGTGAAGTTAAGGATCAACCGTTTAAAAGTGATGTTCCATAGTTGCTTAAGATGATAATTCTAGAATATTATTACATGACAAAACAAAACATCTTGAAATTTTAAAGGAAGAACCTGTAGGTTCAACTCACTAGACTGTGATCACAATTAACTGAAGAAAAGTCAAAATGTTTCATTCGCTTGTGTTACCAAGGTCAGGTTTGAACATTTTAACTGCTATGTCTTTTGAATTCAGTGCATCTGCTTTTTGGCCTGTATCTAGTTGGGGGAGGATCTATATCACCTGTAAAAATGGTTTTATACTGCTTAAAAAACGAAAAAGTTTAGTATTAAGATCAATGGAATAAAATTATTAATGTACACCTAGATTTCCATATCTTAGAAGTAACAATATTTAAAATTATCTAGAACATAAATTTCAGTGGTAGATTTTAAAACTAAGTTGGATCAACAATGTAAACGTTCAGTTTGAACAGGCATAAACCCGATTTTCCAATAAATTCCACTTCGGATACTAACTGAACAGTTCAAGATGTTTTTCTACAAATGTAGATTATAGCTCAGTTATACTATTATTTATTTTATTTTAACACATAGATATTGGTACAAGGAGACACCAAATACATATGCGCCACACTAAGCTCATTTGATTTGTGTGAGGGTTGTGATACTGCCCGGGTGCCCAAACCAAACCAGGTGGTTTTCTAAGGGGGCCACACCCGGAGCCATCGACCTAAATGTCTGATCCACAAGGCAGTGAAGCATCGTAAGGAGATGCAGTCCCATGGTAGCCGGTGACCGACGATTGGTTCATACGCTATTTGTCCCTTCAGGATCCTGGAGCCCATGTACACCATTGGTTTGGAATCAGGGTTTTCCAACTCCTCTAGGTGAACTCTCCATGTCCACCAACCCGGTTAAAGCATCAGAAATTCGGTTTTCGTCCTCTCAGTCCCGTAAAAAACACCGCCACAAGAAGGCAGTGAGTAGGACTTTCCTAGCAGAGGCTATATACGCGTGGTGATGTTAGAGCATTTCGAAAGGGAGAGTGGACTCGCCCCACTCTCGGCCGTACCAGGGCATTTTGGGGCAGTTATACTGATATTCAAGTATCGGCTTAATTGTATATTACTGTAAGGGGGTCTTTTATTTATTCATTAATAGTTAGTAATTAATTGTTAATGAAGAGACGGGCATAATTAAAAAAAAACAGTTTGGTAAATTGTACTTAAATGTCATCTTTGCTTGGTACTTTGAAAATTATTCATGTTTACTATTGATTTTTTTCTGATAACCATGTACACAGACTTTGCTATCAGTCAATTTATCAACCGATCCTAAAATGTGGCTAAGTTAAAATGATCAATTATATATTATCATGATAAATACTACTTAAACATATGCCAAAGTTGTGATATTAGATTGTCTGATAAATAATAACTAAGTTTGTATTTTATCATATGGATGTGAAAAATAATAGTGTTCATTTCATTTCTAATATTCCTTTTCCGTTTTTGTCAACAAAAAAAATAGGGAAGCGTTTAATGTTTCATTCAATCATGAACACTAACAATATAATATGCAGGGATACTATAACAGTAATTGAATCTTGCCTTTAAATGACATAAAGTCACAATAAAACATTGATTAATAAGTGAGGTTTCTCTCATTGAAATAATCAAGATTACATACAATTGATTATATTGCAAGAGTTTCAGTCATTTATCCTTTCTAGTGATACAATCCTACACAGATACACAGACAATAAATTAAATATTGCAGATAAATGTGTACATGAATTTAAACATTATTAAAATTAAACAAACAGAATTCAGTATTAATTTCATAAATTTAATATATAAACAATAAAGTGAGAAAAACATGATAGTGTATCATCTAATTAATTAAAATAAAGGATATAAATAAAACAGTAAATCGATGTAACACAACTCAATATGGCGAATTAAATATTAACGTGATAAATGAATCACAGTTCGATGGAGAATGCTGGTTGGCAACCTGTGCTCTTCCAAGAGGAGTAACAGGTGTAACAGAGTGATAAATGAATAACTGAAGATGAAAATGACGCAAAAGATTAAGAATTAAAATGATTAAACAGAGACAACAATGAACAATTGAAGATTCATGAAGGAAAATAGCCTATAATTACTAAATTTGTTAAGGGATATACAAATTTTATAATGAAATAGGATATAAAGTGGACAGTGAGCGTTGGAATGAAGAGAAGGACAAAAGCAATAAAAGTGAAGTCGATCTGATAATGAAAGACAGCAAATAAGGAAAATAATTACGCTTTGTTTATAGTTATTTCAGTTTATAAAAGAAATGTATTACAGAAATGGAATGATTTTTCTGAAATCAAATTCACATATGGAATATAGTAAAATAATTGTAAACACTATCAATATGAAATTAACACCAACGGAAAAACAACACAGTTGACATAGAAACAATTAGTTATGATAAAATACAACAAGTTCACCGTAAATAATCATTAAAAAAAATCAAAATAATCATTGCCATTTGAATTCATTTCAACAATACATTTGTAAGAAGTATTAATAGCGATAGTAAGTTTTATAAATGCAGTAATCATGAAATAGATCATTTTAAAACTGGAAAAAAAAAGAAAGACAAAAAAACACAAGTTAGAAACAGTAAAATCTGGAGAACATTTTTTCAAACCACAATTTCCTTCTCTTTAATTGAGAGATTTTTGAAAATTCCTTTAAGAAGAACCCAAGAGATTATGTATGGCCGATTTTAGTATCATTGAAGTAGATAATTACCTGAAGAAAACAAGAAAATTGAATATCGGAAAAAATCTGTTGAACAATTCAATAAGAAGTCTAATCAATCAATTAAAAAATTGTTAAGAATTAGTGAGCCAAACATTTATGATTGAAATCAAGAATCGATCAATGTTAGGCCACCACTGAAAACCTGGAAGCATTGGATGGTCATTTAGTTCTAGAATGGGGGACTCCTCAACAGTACGCATTTATAAACCCGCACACGGTAGGAGTCCCATACTAGGACGAAACAGCTGTCCAGTGCTTCCAGGTTTTCAGTGGTGGCCTAACATTGATCGATTCGTGATTTCAATCAAAACTCAATTTCCACAACTCTACATTGATAACTAGACAATCGTTCAGCATTAAGGTTGTATACTTGTTCATACATGAGATTCTTTACTTTTTAAAATTATACACTTATAAAGCTGAATATGACAATTTATTTATGAATCGCTTCATAAGTCAGTCATCTGTGAGTGTATACAATAGTGCAAGAAAAGCATGATTCATTATCTTTGAAACAAAACTTAGAAACTACGTGATAAATTTATTCTCGTTTTTTCTAACTATTCATTTATAATATTCAGTGAAATTTATGTTTGAGGATGTTAACAGTAAAACCAATTAATGGATTCAATGTCCAGGTTACGACTAATGAATTTGATTATATCTTAAATGATATACCCACATGATATGAAAATCACTGAAAATAAAGAAGTACGCTACCCTTTTATCAGGAAGGCAACTATATTAAAGTAATGATAAATTGGTATAAGCGGTAAGTCAGCAGTTATAACACTCAGATTTTAGTCAGACTGCCAGATAATATCGCTGACCATTAGAAAGAGAAAAATGTACTTCACAGGTGAATAAACTCCTCTGTATTAGGTAAAATCAGTTAGATTATCTCAAGAGTATGTAGCGGTTCATATTGCTACATTTCACATCAGAATAATAAGTGAAAATATCAGATTTGGTGGATCAGTTGATATGACGAATAGAGAATTCAAAATAAAGTTTTAAAAATGAGGAATAATACATGTTGACCATTTAGACAAAGATATAATGAATATATTTATTTTGCTGAGATCACATTTTAGTCACAAAAAGTATTCAACTATAAATGTCGATTTGTTTAGCGAACCTCAAACACGAAATCTGTTTAACAACTCTGAAGGGCTCAACTGAACGGTCAATATTGTTACTAGGCAAGAATATTTAAAATATTATGAAGACTGAAGTGGTTAGTATTGAAGACAAGTTAGTCATAAAACCTGATCATGCGACTAAGAATTGTTTCGCATTGATTATCTTGCCTGACTTGTCAGATTTGTCATGGAACACTATATCCTGGTTAACATCACTTTATGTCAGATGGATGAAGGAATTTTTTAAAATTCATTTATTTGACTCAATAACCTCCACATCAACAAAGAGCCTTGTCATACACCAGTAACAAGCAACAAATATCAAACTGCTGAATACAGTAGTATTCCCAAACCCTTTAGTATAGGATATAAAATTTTCGGTATATGAACAAGTCATCGCTCGGATGATAAAGAAAAAGGTTATTTGCTGAACAGGTTTTTATGAAAGCTTTTTTTGACCGACATGAAGATCCGAATTCAACACTCCACTTCTGAATAATGAAGGCTACAATTTTTTCGAGGATCAAACACACTTGATCATCAGTTGCAATATGGATAAGCATTGTACTTCGATAAATCAGTTTTTAGGAAATATTTTGATGTAGATAAAAATGAAATAAAGTACAGTTTATTTAGCAGATTTCTATATGAGCGAAACATAATTATGGAGTGTACAAATGACAAACAAACTAATTATTTGTTTTGATTTTATCTTATACCTTGCAAAAACGTCACATGCATGTAAGAATGAATATAAACAAACTTGATGTCTCAGTAATTCTGTGTCACGTGAATGAAGTTCCAGGCATATTTACTAGCATTCAATAAGTGATGTAGTACGGATAGCAGTAAACAATTGGAAAAAATCGGAGGAATCAATGTGCGAGCAACGGTGGTTTAATGGATGAGACACTTTCGACTATTAATAACTAGATTATGAAGTCGAAACCAGTCCAAATTTATTCAGTTAGGAATCCCAGGTAGCATCACTGGTGGTCGATAGACGAGTACGTGAACGATGTGGTTAATCACAGAGTTATATTATATTATTATTCTCAATTTATAACTTTGTATGCTTATATTCTACACTTCTAATTAACAACCTTTTTGATATGCTGGACAACTCCTACAGTCACACACTGACTCGAAGGAAGTATGGGAGACGAATTATTAGTAAGCTACCTATATAAATCTTACATGTCGCCGTCAGTGTGACAAGCAACGGATACGTAATAGACGTAAACATTAGGACTGAGACTTCGACATTAAGCTTTCTATACTGGTGTGCCTTTACCTTATACATAGGTCGCTTTGTCAAGTGTGGAATAGTCACAGTTTTTTAACGTAAATTCGTTGCTGAAACAGAATTATATATTAGATTTCGAGCAATTAGTTATTAGCACGAGGACCTGTAATAACTAGCCAATTACTTAAACTAGGTTTCAGTTAAAAACCTAGGTGTTTTGATCATTCTGCCAGCGGCGTTTTACACTAATTTAATAAATGAACACAAAGGCAAATAGATGTGAGTAGAAAAAATTACTTGGTAGCTTACCATAAACATGTGTATATAATTCTGCATAAACATATATAATTGGAGGAGGAGTTATTGACTTAATTTCGATAAAAGACTTTCGAAACTAAAACCAGGAAAACAAAAAGGAATCAAAACACGAGGGTTAAAAGCAAGGCAGATTCAAATTATTAAAGCATCTGGGCAAAACAAACTTCTGCCGATTAGTTGACTAATACGCGATTCAGTGAAAGCAGTTTTCGGTAGGAATTCACGGTTTTCAACAGTTTTTCAGCAATTTATCTTACAGATAAAAACTGACCAGGGTTAGGATAACAGGTTTACTTTTACAAGAAAGGTTTTTTTCTACAGTATCGGTTTGCTAGTACCATCATCAACTATCCTCCTTCATCAGAAATCAAAAACATCAACAACACTAGAACGGTTACAGTTAGACGAGTACCCATGTGACTAGTCCATGTGATTATATGCTTAACATCAATCTTACTCTCTCGGTGGTCTTAGGTCATGGGGACAAATAATCATTCGGTGGGAATTATAGTTTCATGAACACAACGAATCCCATCAACTTTCATAGGTCATGATATGTATGAACAACAGATTGATTACTGTTGTCTGTCACAATTCATTAAAACTACTATAAATATAATAAAAATATTACAATTGTAATGTATTATTATATTGTTTTGATTATTAAAAATCCACCCAACACTCAATTTATTTAAATTTATCAAGTCGAACCTCGGTTATAATACCAAATATAAACATCGTTATGGAATTAATCGTTATGGAAAATGTGTTTTACATAAACATCAGACCAATTAATACATCATAATAATAAACTGTTCTAACAAGAAAAATTCATCAATACAATCCATACTCATAGTGCTAATAAAAATAATATTTATCAGTGACCACTGCTTGTTGAAGGTCATACATTCTAACATGTATCATTAATACTAATACATTCATTCAATAGCTTAGGTAATAAAACAACCAACAATTGTATGTTGCATGAAAATATAGTTATAACAATATTAGGTTGCAATGACGTATTAATCAATATACATTATGTAATAAGTAAATGACTTGTGACAGAAAACAGCAGAATTAAAGAGTTATATAAACACATAATTCAACAAGACGTCCTTACAAAAAATAAAAGGTAGTTGACCAATCAATGAAAGACAGGGAAGTATTCAATTGGTTATTTAGATAAAGAGACTAGATATCAACTGAGTGCTTTCACTTCTATATCGAAGGAGAATAGGGATATACTATTCCTCAGTGGGTTAACTTCTCTGATATATAAATATCATTGTTATTATGAAGGTTACTGGAAATAATTCTAGAGTTTTAAAATGCGATTTGCATTTATCTCTACTGCAGGCAGTCAGTTTCCTTCCATAGAAAAATAATAGATACAAAGCAATATAGTAAAACGTACAATTTTTTGACGCCTAGATTTGGTCTGAAAGTTCCATAGAGTTTTTCATCCGGTTCACGATTAATAGGACCTTGTACAGGAGGATCTTCATCCCTTGTAAACAAAAAGTTGAAAATATCATCAGTCACACAAATATTTTTGTAGTAGTAATACTCATAGTAAACAACATGCGGAATTAAATGATTCAAAAAGTTCTTATTAATACCAATGTGTCATAAGAAAGTTGAGTACATTAACAGAGTAATCAGTTAGGTGTTAGATAAGTAAGTATGGTTAGATATAATAATCCAGCTTGAAGTATTTGTGTTCCATTTTAACAAACATATGTGCGTATCAAGTAAAAATTTACTGATACTTATATTTAGTTTCTAGGTGATTTTCACCACGCATCGATGTCATCAGGTGAACAATAGAAAATCAAGGTGTATTGGAAACCAGTCTCAGCCTCCTCAGCAGTGCACACCCACAATTCTACCTGAACAGAATAGAAACCTAAGACTCAAAAAGTTCTAAATTCAATATCAAACTAGGTTCATTTCTAAGAAGTCCCCAAAAATGTCTCAACATGATTTTGAAGCATCCCTCAACTGATGTCAGTTCGTAACGAAAGTTAACTCGAAGATACAAAAACATTTTCTTAGAAAAGTATGTTCACCTATATCGTTACTCGTAAATATATCGGTAATAATTGAATAATAAAAACGAATGATACTAAGAATAGTATTGCATCAGTAAATAGTTGTGCGTTATGTATAATTCATCCATCAAATGTTGCATAAATCATGTGAATAACTTTGAAATTAAATTCATGTATTATAGTATATCAATGATGATTATTATTGCTCAATTAGATAATATCACCTATGAAAATATACAGTATTTGATAAATGTTACCAATTTTAACTAAATTACATTAAGTTAATCAAACTCATTCCAATTTTAAAAATTGTAATAATTCCTAAGAACAATTTCTTTTAATATTTAACTATATACAAAGTTATAACTTGAAATACTGTAAAAAAGAGTTTATATTCTGTAGGTAGAATATTCAATGTTATATTCCTAGAACTTTACAATAAGATGGAAAACAATGCAATAAAGATTCGACTTATACACTTGTGTGACATGATTCAATTAAACAAAATAAATGAGAGATTGGAAATTCAAGTATGTCTTATTGCATGATTTGAATTTATAATTTTAAATATATGAACATTAATGTAGTGGTTTATATTTGTCAAATATATAAAGAGTACCGTAAGACAATCCGTAGAAATTTTCAATAAAACAAATTGGAAAAGACTGAATATTAAACATATAAAAGTTCTAAGATGAAAGATTTTGACTAGATATTGAACTTAAAAATGAATCTTCAATGTAGACATTTCTCACAAGTAATTGGTACTACAAACACGTGTGTGAAGTTTTCTTTAGAGGTCAACTAATCTTTACATCTTAAATCTGTCCATAAATGACATTATCAATGAGCGATAAATTGAAAGTGTTATTTATTAACGAAAACGCTAGATATGGGTGATGATTAATCATTTAGGCCATATGGTAGCATATATGCAAAAGGTTTGAGTGGTAGAGCAGAAAGACTTTAGCAACCGACTACTCTCACTCTGGACAATATGAAACGAGAAATGGGAATTATTTACATACTAATCTAACCATTAAGAAATGAATCGATCAATGTTAGAGTACCATTGAAAACCTGAAGCCACTGAACGGTAGTTCCATCCTAGTATGGGACACTTCAGAAGTGCGCATCCACGGTCTCGTACGCGGAACTCGAATACAGAACCTTTAGTCTCGCTTGTGAATACTGAAATTTTAAACCACTGAGCAAGCAACCAGCGGTGTTCATGTCTTACTTCAACCAATCCATGGAATCGCGCGACAATTTTCCATTGTCTTCGGTGGGTAAATGCCTCACATCTGACACGGATTAGCTCCACTTGTCAAGTTTTCTCACTAGACCTTTGAGAATTACCTCTCGAAGTTAGTCACTAGTGAACACATAGTAATTATCAGTATAGGGTTGTGGAGAATGTTGATTTTTTTATTGAGATCATGAGTCGATCGTGAATTTGTTGAAGTTAGACATTCACACCATTGGATGCCACCTCAGTGATCTAGAGGTTAAGCGTTCGCGCGCGAGACCGAAGTCCTGAGTTTGAATCCCGTCTGCAGGATCGTGGATACGCACTGCTGAGGGATCCCATACTAGGACGAAACAGCTGTTCAGTGCTTCCAGGTTTCTAATGGTGATCTAACATTGATAGATTCATGATCACAATCAAAAACTCAACAATTTCCACAACCCCGTATTGACACTAAGGAACGATTGAATGCATAGATTTCGTGTTTCGGAACAGTTACCATAGGGTTTTCTACCCTGCATCTTTTATTATACTCATTAAAATACTAAATCAGAGGAATATTAAGCATTTGCTAATGTAATTCTCTAACAAAACAGTGTTATTCATAAGCAGTATGGTAATCCATAATAAAAATTGAATGTTGCAATCACTAATCCCTTGAAGAATTTTATCACAAGCTGAAATAAGTTAATCAACCACTGAATCCGTTTTAGAACTCTTCAGGAGAGTGAAGACATGAAATCAAACACAGGATGTTCATTGCTTAAGGAGAGTACGAACACTGATTGATTTGGAACCCAATCGACTAAATTTGTGATATCTCTTACTCATTACCTTCGATCACAGCATCCTGCTGGATCTTTGGAGAAATCACTTCGAGGACACTTTTTTTCCAAAAAACATCGATAATTTCACATTATGTTTAGCACATCCATCAAAAAAGTCTTATATATATTAAAAAACAAAACATTTCTACTACAATTACTGTAACGATAACATGTTTTGATTATTAATTCAAATTAAATTAATTAATATCAAAAACATATAATTCGATGTCAATAGAGTGTGAAAAAGAAGAAAAGTTTTGAGAGAGAAAAAGACAGAAATCTAAATAGTAATGATCAGAATTCATTTTAGTGATAACTTTTTCCGTAGTCATCTTTCACACATGGTGTATTGTGGTGTGTGCTACTGACATCGACGGATATAAATAATATGTATCATCAGTCAAAAGTGAAGTGTCTAGCGGCAGAAGGTTAAGAAGATCGAAGGAAAGAGAAAGAGAACAGTGAATTATTGCTGTGGAAATGGATGAACAGTGAAGTCTGAGACGATTGATTAACATTTGTAGAAGGAACAGTCAAGTTTGAGACAATTGATTGACATTTTTCAAATGAAGTATTTACTGTATGGTTCTTAGATTTTACTAGGGTGTTCTGTAATTTTGTGTTCAAATACATTCCGTTATCCCCGCTTGTGTTCTTCGTTCACTACAGTATATTGCAATTCAAATGAGAATTTTTAAAAATCCATTTTAGAGAGAGATTAATACTGAAACCAAGTTTGATTTGTAATTCAATTGTGAACTGCCTTGTTTAACAAATACAATAAACACCATGCATACAAACATGAGGATAAAAAAAGTTTAATGAAACGTAAAGAAAAACTACAAAATAATGTGTATCAGTTGGCAGAATTCATATTAATACAATAAGAGAAACGAAACAATCAACAAACGATATCATTAATTAAAACAAATAATAGGATGACAGAAATTGAGATAAAATGTTTATTGAATAAAGAAGATGTATAAATAAACAAAATTTATGAGAATGACGTTAAAAAAATTATGAATATTTATTAGTTTTTAAAAAATCGTTAATATCCCATAGTTTATTATGATAAAAGTGTACATTAACACTAAGATTATCTGATATTGATGAAAACGCGATGATAGCTAATTCCTCTGACCGTATGTCTAAAAGCTGTTCATTTTGCTATGAATTAGCTTATGTCAGTTCAGATTCGTCATAGTAGCTTCCTCTTCTTCGATTCATAGAGTTTATGGGTATCTCGAAAGAAAGATGTATTGAATCTTTCTAAGGTTCTTTCTCCAGTTCTTCAATCTTTCTTTAGTTTTACATTAATCTTGGCCACAACAACGTGGTGATATGAAGCTATGTCAGTTCTTCTCTTTGTTCTCATGTCTTCTAGTGGTATTCTGCATTTTTCAGTGATGTAAATATGATCGATTTGGTTCTCTGTGATGTGATACGGCGAAATTCATATAGTTTTGTATATCTTCATACCCGGTGTTGTCAATTCTGACTTTGGTGTTTAAGTCTTCCGTCAAAATGATCAAGTCCTTTCCTGGACACTTCTCTTCGATCGAATACAGTCTCTCATAAAACTGATATTTGTCGTCCTCGTTCATATTATTGGTGGGTGTATAACACTGAATAACATTCATTGTAATCCGCTCCTTCTTTGTTTTGAAGAATGATTTGATGATTTTGGATCCATGAAATTCCTATTCTATAAGTGCTTTTCGTGCTTCCTTGGACAAAATCAGAACAACTCTTTACATGAGTGGAGCATTCTCCTCTTCGTGAACAAAGCACAACAGCACCTCTTCCGAATACAACCTTTCTCGTTCAATTTCGGTTCAATGGGTTTCACTGATTCTGAGAATCGTAAAGTTGTACCTCCTTATTTGACTTATACTCCCAGTCTCCCACATTGTATGGACATTCCATTTACCAATGTTAATTGTTGCTTTGAATGACAGAGGGGACATCAGTCTCGTGAGTTCCGAAGAATCTCCGCTTTTAACATGTGTCATAACTCTTCTGAACGAAGACATTTCAACTCATAAAATACAGTTTCAATTATTTCAATGACTTTTAGTGGCTAGCTTTTTAAAAAAGGTTTATTTCTACAGTATCGGTTTGCTAGTACCATCATCAACTATCCTCCTTCATCAGAAATCAAAAACATCAACAACACTAGAACGGTTACAGTTAGACGAGTACCCATGTGACTAGTCCATGTGATTATATGCTTAACATCAATCTTACTCTCTCGGTGGTCTTAGGTCATGGGCACAAATAATCATTCGGTGGGAATTATAGTTTCATGAACACAACGAATCCCATCAACTTTCATAGGTCATGATATGTATGAACAACAGATTGATTACTGTTGTCTGTCACAATTCATTAAAACTACTATAAATATAATAAAAATATTACAATTGTAATGTATTATTATATTGTTTTGATTATTAAAAATCTACCCAATACTCAGTTTATTTAAATTTATCAAGTCGAACCTCGGTTATGATACCAAATATAAACATCGTTATGGAATTAATCGTTATGGAAAATGTGTTTTACGTAAACATCAGACCAATTAATACATCATAATAATAAACTGTTCTAACAAGAAAAATTCATCAATACAATCCATACTCATAGTGCTAATAAAAATAATATTCATCAGTGACCACAATTTTCTGAAGGTCATACGCATCCCTAAATGAGTTGTGGAAATCTGCATTAAACGATTACAGTATTGATAACATGCTAATCATTTCGAAATGTTACTCTTATTATTAAAACAATTTTGAATAAGCAAACTCATTTTGAAAGAGTAGAACCAACATACAATGTCACTAGAAATTTAAAACATCCAGTTCATGTTCACATACAAAATACCATTATCGTATCATGGGAAAACTTACCTACATTATTTTCAAATGTGAATTGGGCATTCAATGTTGCGCAAAAAGTGCAGTGTTAAAGTATGGTTAGGTACCGAAATGGATGATAGGGCAATTGTTCATAAGGCAGTAAGGAACAGTAATAGAAAACAAATTGTAAAAGCTCACAATGCGGTCAGTTCACACCACAGCACACAAATTCAAGGTGATTTTATCAAATCACTGGTTTGTAAAATTAGTTTGAACTTGTAACGGTAAAAGTATAGTATAGTAAAGTAAAGTATAGTAAAACAACCAAGATGAATTTTAGTCAGTTGTGAGGTAGTCGAAAAACAGCTTTTATACACGAATGGTTTGTGGTAAATAAGCAGTAGATGATAAAATAGATAAACAGATTTTACATAATTATCGAACCTATTGAAGTTTTCTACAAATTATCTTGTCTATAAATCCAAAAAACAATGACATTGAAATTCTTCTAAATAGATATAGATTATCCGTCTTCTCAGACCATTATAAAGGTGCAAACAGATTTCTAAGGGTCCGTACATTGTTCCTGGTTAGGGTTAGGTCACAATTAAGGATTTAGAGTTGGAATTAGATATAAGCCATTCGTTTTGAATTTAACACAAAAATTCAAACGTCGTCTTTTTGATTCTGATTGGATCATATCTATACGATAGCTTTACCCTTGTAAAAATCAATATTTTGACATTTTCATATTAGAGACGATAACCATTCGACGACGTAAAATTAAGTGAGCACAAGCACTTCAGTACGTCTAGTATATGATACAGTGAATTACAAATTCTCCACTTACACCCATGGTAAACACATCAATTGAAAGTTGAAACTCGAGTAATCAAGCTGTTCGTGTTTCGCCTATACATCTAACAATAGATTTACTAACCCTTTTGCTCATACATCCAGGGAGTTGTGATATATTAACAGATGACAGAACGACACAAGTTGTTTGATAAATACCCATTCCAACCCAAAACATTGGGTCATAACTTAAAAGTCTTACCATTACTTAAAAAAAAAGAGCTCGACACAGTACGAAAAATTGAATCACATAATAACCATAATATAAAACATATGTTAAATAAGAATGGGATGAAGATAGATTTTATTGATCTCAAAGAGATATCTCACTACATATATTCATAAAAGACAGCAAAACTGCAGTTGGATCGCTACTAGCTTGTTATTTGAACCAAGACTAATGATATATTAATGTAGTAAGTTGTACATTCTCTACGAATCCATCGAGAAAGTACTGGTATACTGCACCAAAGCTAGATTCTATTTGGTGATCGATCCGTTATAAAAAAACTAACCCCCTCCCCACACTTCCTATCCAGTTCCAATATCAGCAAGTGATGATCAGTAAGAAAGCCGTTAGTGACAACATGTGTAAGATGTGATCAAGGTATTGAAGCCGGTAGTATTTTAAGATGTCACCATTACTGATTAGAACATGATCTTCACACTATGCCTAGACGAGTTGATAGATTAGTAGTGTAGAAATATATATAAAACCTAGAGAGGTAATTATAGGTCCGAAGCTTTAAAATTGGTTAAGTTAGTACCACACTGAAAATAGATTAGTGGAAGCATAACTTACCACCGTTTGACAGAGTGAGATGTAGATTTTCTGATGAATGAAGCATATTCATATAAAGAGATGAGTTATTCATGATAGATTAATTAATCAATCACAGTAAAGTTCTCTGAAGAGATGTTGTTTATTCAATTTTTGAGTGTCAAGCACTTGTTATTATATTTAATCATACCTATAAAGGTTAAAAATTACAACTACACCAGTGATGATTCGCAAACTAAGAAATCACATTATATACGCCGGAAAATGATCGAAATTTCTATGTATTGATACTTATTATTTTCTATTAGTGGCAGATTTTACCGAAGACCACACAGTACACTTTATATTACTGAATAACCTTTACCAAAAGCGAGATTTCTTCTCATATATGAAAATTATATGAAACATGTAATAACTCAGTGAGGATTAGAGTGGATAAAGGATACTATACCAACCGGTATGATATGATTTTCTAATTATCACTGAGATGAGATTCGAGAATATGTAGGCTACTCACAGACCTGAGGAGCCAAAACAGTAGTCAATGTTAACACGAAAATCGACTGTAATTTGGACAACGTAAAGTTGAGTTAGACTAACTAAAGTATTTGTTAATTGTGTGAGAATCAGAAATGATTCTTTTCTGTTGAACTGAAAACAAATACAATCATAGCTTGGTGGTCAAAGAACTTGAATTCTAACTAGTAAGATATAAGCTTAAACCCTGTTTTGCCTACTTCAGTTTGTGCAATCAAATAGTAACATTGGCCCTTATACAAACTATTTGCCTCAAAGTCAAGTACACAAAACTTTACTTCATAAATCCGTTATACTAAAGTAAAAAAAACACCGTAAATTATATTGAGAATCTTTCTACATCAACCACACAAAAGAATGAATTCATGGAATCTCCAAAGTTTTTAAATAAATAATTATTCAACGCAGAACAAATGAATACAAACAGGCCTTGGAATGTAACAGAAATCATAGAGATATATTTCAAACACGCCTTTATTACTTAGTCAGTTTCTTTCCTACAGAAGTTCCACTATTAATCAATTCAGTTTAGTATTAACTATTACAAATTATAAGTAATATATATAGTACACTAAAATTGTTAAATTTAAGTGTTTTATTTTTTTCTCGAAAAAAAAGGGAAACAGCACAAACGTTTTAATATAAACTGAGTAAGAATTGTACGACCAAACTATACATTTTTATTTTCATACTTATAATGAAACATAATATAACTGGATTTAAAGTGACACTTGTCGACAAGTGGAAATAATAGTTGTACCGAAAACAAATAATTGAAAGATATCGAACACTGTGAAAGAAAAAGAGAGATTTAACAACATAATATTTATGTTACAAACCGTGCAATTTTCAAAGATATAATCGATTTCAGATCGTATAAAGTATTGAAGTATGACTTTTAAATGTGATTTAAATTACTCAGCTAGGATCTTCTAAGTATACAACTAGTAATCAGATGTTTTTAACAATAATGGTGATAATAATAATACATGATAACGTACCCAGCTCTTTTATAAACTGATAGTTCTTCTTCAACCTCAATCAGACGTGTTTTTAATTCATTACGTTCGATTAAAACATTTCTAAGTTCCTGAAGGGTGAAATGAGGACGATTTGGATTACGACCATCAATAATCATTTTGCCTTCAGCATTAAGTTGTTTAACTAATTGTTCCTCTGTTAACTGTGGAGGCTGTTTAGAAGCAAATAAAGCGGTTCATATTAGGCACACAAACAAAACAATTTAAGCAGAATAGATAAAAAGGGGTTTGCGTTTAATGGTTTCAAATCTTGTTCAATTATTACGCAACCCATCTTATCAGGGTTTTTTTAATCCCAGGATTCTCGTACAAACCTTTCATTACCTCTTAAATTAACGCACAATTTATTTTGTCTCTGAACTTCACTCAATTATCACATCACCCATCCCCATGTTTTTTATTCTAACACCAAATGACCGACCTGTTCTTGCACACACATATATAATTATTATTGATAATTTTTGTCATCCCTATTCTTTACATTCACTTACGTCAATTGTTTCACGCCATATCTTACCCCAATGTAAGTTTTAACACATATTGTGTTGTAAGCAGCTAATGAGAAACTACGGAATATAATGAATTCATATTATTCTGCATCTATGTTTGTTCTGGCTTTGTCTAAACTCAAAAAAATTTGTTTGTTCAGTTAAGGTGGTGAATTTCACCTGAAAATAATTTTATGGTGAAAGATGGAAATTTAGCTGTAATGTGCTGCTGTCAAAACTCATCAGTTGGATGAGCGCTATAATCCCATCCGGAGCAAAACCGAACACTTATCACTTGAAATACTAAGAATGTTGATTAATAGATTATTACTGAATAAAGCTAATATCAGCGATATTACTGTTTCTAATTCAAAGATTGCCTAACATCATTTTTTCTGCCAGAAAATAGAAAAGAATAATTTTCGGAAGAAAATTAATGAGAATTTTTAGGTGTATTGGTAAAGTCGATTCTCTCTCTGGATAGGAAGATGGTAATTAATTTTAACAGTTAATTATGATATGAACCACTTGTGAAAAACTATCAATTTAATATATCCGTAGGTAAGAATTGTATAAAATAAATAACTTTGTAGACTATAAAAACTTAACTGACCCAGTATCTTTGTGGCAATTTAATATAAGTTGTTCACTAGAATTGTTAAAGACTAATTAACCGATGATTATCAACTAAGATCAATATCGGATTATAACATTATGACTGATAGTCTACCCTAAGGACAACTTGTATATAGCTACTGCGTTACACATTTATAAAGCCGAGAAATTGGAGGAATGTGTAAACCGTTGAGTGACAGCTCAGTGGTCATGATAATAAGTGCTCGCCCCAAGGCTCTGGGTTCGTCCCCCGGTGGAATCATGGATGATCATCGCTGACGGGTTACATACTAAGACAGGACAGTTTTCCAGTGCTTCCTAGTTCTTAGTGGTTGTATAACCAGAGTCAACCTCAGCCAACGACCTTAGCAATGACAACACCCTATGATAAAAATAAACAATTGATGAGATTAATGGGGAAATCAACACATATGTAGAAAGAGAGGTTTACTTACCGGAGTCTCTGGAGATATCAAGTCAGCAATTAAGGATTTCGACATATCAACACAAATAGATGAGTCGGTATTATTGCTATTATTATTACTATGATGGATATGTTCTTCCATTTGTTTAATTTGCTGATCTTTTGTATTGAGTTGTGTCTCTAAAGTTAGCTTCTCTTCACGTAATTGATCTGCTTGTTGCTTACTGACAAAATGTTTACGACGTAGTGATGCATTCAGTTTGGCTAAACGTGTGGCTTGTTGTTGCATCTGACAAGAGTTAAAAAGAAACGAATATAAAGTGGTGAAAATTTGTGAAATAATGGATATATAAAAGAGTATACTAATGCATAAAGATAGAATTTTAATGAGGGACTGAAGAATTTGATGTGTTATTGGGTGTTTGAGAGTACCAGACTGATATTTATTTTATATTGGAGTTCCTTAGAGGTGAATTCTCTCTGATCTTATCGAAATTAAAATTGACTTTTAGATCTAGCAAAAATTTCGTCACTATTTAATTAGCTCATACACCTACACCATTCACTTCACATCTCATAATTAGCAGTTTCAAACTTTATTCACCTCTTTCTTTCATTCAGAGCTGATAAGATGAAAAGCAAAAAGGAATGCTTTAGCGACTGAAGCGAGTACATGAAGAGGACCTTGTTGAGAGAATAAAAGCTTCGAGCTTCCAGGTATGATGTAAGATTATTAGTACATAACTCGCACAAACTCGAATTTTATAACCAATCTGGCATTGAAACAGTAATGCACATGGATAAGTTTACACACTTTTAAAATTACAGAACTCTATTTCGTCTTCATTTGCCCCTAAATGCCCTGGTATGGACGAGGGTGGGGAGAGTCCGTCCTCTCTCTCTCCCGAAATGTTTTCACATGGACACGCGTATATAGCCTCTGCCACGGGAGTCCTACTCACTGCCTTTTCGTGGCAAAGGTATTGTTTACGAAATTGAGAGGACGAAAAGCGAATGTCTGGCGCTTTAATCGAGTAGGTGGACATGGAGAGTCCACCAAGGGGAGTTGGAAAACCCTGATTCCAAACCAATGGTGTACATGGGCTCCAGGATCCTGAAGGGACAAATAGCGTATGAACCAATCGTCGGTCACCGGCTACCATGGGACTGCATCTCCTTACGATGCTTCACTGCCTTGTGGATCAGACATTTAGGTCGAAGGCTCTGGGTGTAGCCCCTTAAGAAAACCACCTGGTTCGGTTTGGGCACCCGGGCAGTATCACAGCCCTCACGTAAATCAAGTGAGATTAGTGTGGCACATATGTATCTGGTGCCCCGTTGTACCAGTATTTATGTGTTCAAATAAACAAATAAATAATAAATACCTCATTACCATTTACAGGAACCTACATGCGAAGATTTTTCACAAACTAATAATGAAGCATTATGGTCAAGAGAGATAGTTTCTTAAAAATATTGTTCCTTATACTTTGATGATGCAAAAAATAAAATTCCGGACACTAATTATAAAATTATTACATGGGGTAAGTTTCACCATCTACGTAGAGCATGATGAAATAGTTGAAATGTTTTTGTTAGGTTGAATTCCAGGCAAATCATGTGCTGGCTCAAGGTCGTGATCTAGGTGAGTGTGGGCGTCATACCCCGACCGTTGTTGCTACCTTGACGTGGTGGTCGGGCTTGCCTATCGTGATGAAGCAACCGAGCTATACTGGCTGGAACAACCGTTCCTCAAGGTCCTACCATGTCAGACAGGTCGGTTGAAGAGCGGTAAGACTAAAAGCAACAAACCCAAGGTCCGAAGGCGAAGTCGTACTGCTGACTGTACATACGTTTAACAACAGTAAGGTGTTTCCTTCAGACAACCAGCGTGACAGCGATGCTGCCTTCCCACAAGGAGGGGTGGGGTTAGAAAAGGTCGACCCTAAAAATGCACACCTCGCCTTATCCCACGGATATCCGTCTCCGGCGGTAAGGTCTCAATAAGCACGGAGCTAACACAAAAATTACCCATAACAAGGTCGTGTGTGACCGACCTCAAGCAGTTGTCCCTTGGGCACTGCGGTCACGCTCTCAGGTCACTAAGACCACATTTAATCCAAATTCCTTTTCAGGTACCCCCAGAACAACCCTTCCACGGTGTGGGCAACCGGGAAGTGAAAACCGCCCTCATACCTCTAACAGCACTCAAGACCACTGTATTCATAATCAACCTTCCTCTTCAATTCCTATTATTCCTCCTACATCGACTTTCACCTTTAAATTTCCTCTCTCGGCTTCCCTCTCAAGTGTCACCATAGCCAACGATTCTAGTGCGCAAAATACTGTCCCAGGTCTACTGAAACCTCGCTCCAAACTACACATTGGAGCCTTCAACGTACGAACCCTATGTCAAATCGGTCAGCAGGCTTCCTAGGCTAAAACCCTACAGTCTCTTACCACTGACGTGTGCTGTGTCTCCGAAACACGCATACAGGATTCCAGTGTGGTCATTCACTTGACCTCACCTCGGCAAAACGGAGAGCCAACGAGGTACACCCTTCGTGTATCTGGTGACCCGATGGCAAGTTCTCGTGGACTGGCAGGTGTAGGCATAGCACTAAGCATGAGGGCCGAACAAGCACTGCTAGAGTGGATCCCCGTCAACAGTCGTCTATGTGCTGTTCGGTTGAACGGCTACGTAAGAACTCGGAAGGATAGGAACACACGTCGTTGCCTTTTTGTCGTTTCTGCCTACGCTCCCACTGACTGCAGCTCAGATGGAGTGAAAGATGAATTTCACAGAAAGCTGTCCGAACTTCTTCAGAAAGCTAAACGCTCAGACATAGTACTCGTAGCAGGTGATTTTAATGCTCAGATAGGCAGTTTAAACCAAACAGAAAGGCATTTAGGTGGATATTTTAGTATTCCGACACAGCGAACAGATAATGGTGATCGTCTGCTGCAGCTATGCTCAGACAATCGTTTATTTTTAGCAAACACAAATTTTAAGCATAAGGAGAGACATCGTCTAACATGGCGACCCCCTACACCAAACCAACGATGGACTCAAATAGACCATATTGCCATCAGTCATCGTTGGAGAGGGTCGGTAGAAGATTGTCGCTCATTCTGGAGTACCTGCTTGGACTCCGACCATGCCCTAATACGGGCACGCATCTGCTTGCGCCTCACTGGACGCAAAAAAGCCACATTAAAAAGACCCGTTAGAACTGAGTTAAGTAACGAGAAAACCAGAAGTAGGTTCCAGGAACAACTGAGGTCACACTTAGGTAGTTGTGAAGACGAGGCTGACCCAGATGTTGCTTGGAAGGGCATACAATCAACTGTGGAAACAGCAGTGACATCTATTAGTGACTTAAACCACAGAGTTGTAAGGAACCAGTGGATTTCTTCAAGGTCTGTCACACTGATGGATTCTCGCAAACTCGTCCCATCAGGTTCTGAACATGATGAAGAGCGAAAACAAATCAGATCTAGGTTAAGAAAAAGTCTAAGAAACGACCGTGAGCAGTGGTGGGCAATGAAAGCAAAAGAGATGGAAAAGGTGGCGACTATAGGGAACACAAGACAGCTTTACAGACTAATAAAAGAAACTGGAATTAATAAGTCAAGTGTAAGTGAGATTATATCGGAAAAAGACGATACACTCATCTGCTCCAAGTCCAGGCGTTTAGAACGATGGGCGGAACACTTTAGGGAACAGTTCAGCTGGCCTTCAGCTACTCTACAACTACCCTCCATTCCCAGACAGTGTGAATGGAACATTGAAGTAGGTCCCCCGACTCTTGCTGAAGTTCAAAAGACTATAGTTAATCTGAAACGAGGAAGGGCAGCTGGTCCAGATGGATTGGCTCCAGAGGTCTTTAAGGTTGGTGGTCCAATTTTAGCGATTAAGTTGACTAATATTTTAGCTAAGATCTGGGAATTAGACTTTATCCCATCTGACTGGTCGCAATCACTTATCGTCCCAATATATAAGAAAGGGTCAAAATCATCCTGTGACAACCACAGAGGGATTAGTTTAACAAACATAGTATCTAAAATACTGGCCTCGATAATTATCAAACGCCTAACTAAGACTCGTGAACTACAAACTCGAGAGAACCAAGCTGGCTTTAGACCTGGTCGTGGCTGCATCGACCACATATTCACCATTCGTCAGGTTCTAGAACACAGGCATACCTATCGGCGTCCAACGATGGTGGTATTTCTCGACTTAAAAGCAGCATTTGACTCGGTAGACCGCGAGATTCTGTGGCAGTGTCTGTCATTGAAAGGCGTACCCCAGAAGTACATAAACCTTGTAAAGGCTCTTTACTCGAACACTACTAGTCGAGTCAGAGCTTATGGCGAACTGTCATCTACTTTTGCAACCTCAAGTGGTGTCCGTCAAGGCTGTCCACTTTCCCCATTTTTGTTTAACTTCATCATAGATCTACTGATGGAAATAACTTTCTCGTCGACTAAGTTCTCGGGTATTGATCTCCTACCAGGAGGTCCACTTATCGACTTAGAATACGCAGATGACATAGTCCTGTTTGGTGAAGACGATGACAAAATGCAGAATCTTCTGGCAGCACTAAGCAACAATGCCAGAATGTTTGGGATGCGCTTCTCTCCCTCTAAATGCAAGTTGTTGCTTCAGGACTGGTCTGGGTCAACACCTGAACTAAGGATAGGGAGTGAAGTAGTTGAACGCGTTGACAACTTCACTTATCTTGGAAGTCTGATTAGTCCTAATGGATTGATGTCTGACGAAATCTCAGCACGGATTCGAAAAGCTCGTTTGGCTTTTGCCAACTTACGTCATCTTTGGCGAAGGCGAGATATCCGTCTATCAATAAAAGAGCGAGTATACTGCGCGGCAGTTCGTTCTGTTTTACTTTACGGCAGCGAAACATGGCCCTTAAGAGTAGAAGACACCCGTAAGTTACTAGTATTTGACCACAGATGCCTTAGAAATATTGCTGGCATCTGCTGGGATCACCGGGTAAGTAATAGTGAGGTTAGACGCAGGGTATTAGGGAATGATGGTAAATCAGTTGATGAGGTTATGAATCTTCATCGACTGAGATGGTTGGGCCACGTATTACGTATGCCTGAACACCGATTACCACGACGTGCAATGCTAACCGGGGTAGGGGATGGTTGGAAGAAAGTTAGGGGCGGCCAAACCAAAACGTGGCATCAGTGCCTGAAGTCACTAACTTCTAGTCTGAGCCATGTTGGTAGATGCAGACTACTTGGTTGGGGTCCGCGTGACTTTCGTAACCAATGGTTGGAGACTCTTGGTGACATGGCTCAGAATCGATCACAATGGCGTCGGTGTATACACTCCCTGTCTTCTTTTAAACTAAGAGACTAAAATCACTTCATTCTTTCTGTCTACGAACTAATTCTTTCTTCCTATACTATATCCTTATTGCAACCTTTGACCTAACCACTCCTATGAATCCGCTGTTCATCTTGCTGTGCTAATGAGGTATGGGAACCTGGACCGATGCACATATGTGCCTGGTCCTACGTTGTAGCTGACTGACTGACTGACTGTGGGCGTCATACTGTGAGTAAGAGAATTATTCACTTATCCAAACTCAAGTATCCTGCCTAGAATGGTATATATATATATATATATATATATATATATATATATATATATATATATAGCTGGTTGGATCAATGTTAAGAAGAATGTAATTGTGTATGAATCTGACTGACAGATCGTAAGAATTCTTAAATACTCGTCACAATATCCTAGATATCTTCGAATATCATTGGTCTGATGGCAATGATTTAGTAAAAGCGTCCCAAATAACTAAATAACAAAAAATTAATGATTAAATCTTAGAATAAAAAGCATTAATTCATAAATTCATCAAGTGTGGTATGTTAAAACGATGCAGTGTTTGTGCATCCATTAGAAATCAAATACTATTTTGAATGAATTGGGATACAAACCTGTCATATATCACATACAAATTGATTAAATCAACTTATACCTAGTAAACAAAACCAAAGAAACTCAAGATACGCAACTGAGTTTATATTTGTGTGCCAAGACTTAAGAAATTCATTATATTTGACTGCTAATGTGCACTGACTGTACTTATGAGGAAGATATTTAATACAAATTCTGCGGACTATACAAACCTAGTTCAAGCTCAAGATTTACAGCAACAACACTTCAACTAATATGGACACGCACGCACAGTAAGAAGTTAAAGTGTAATCTTTTGCAAGAGACCCTTTTTTATCGCTATACAAGGTGATATTTATGTACGGCTAGTTTATAAATATACAGTCGGTAATTATTTTCGGAAAACATGAGACAAGCAACATATTAAATAAGGCAGTCCATTAAGGAAAAACGCAGATCATTGTAGGGAAAAGTTTCGGAGAGATTAAAGTAATTTCTAATAAATTTATAGACCAACTAAAACATCAACGACGACATAAAACTAGTAAATCATTATTCCAGTTCTAACTAAATATTTTGAGAACCAAGACATATAACTTGAAATATATATTCCTTTCTGGAGGTTAGAGAATTACTAGAAATAACAATACACGTAATTTAGGAACTAGTAAATTTCTTCCAACTTATTTGCTAGGTACTTGGTTTTGAGCCACGCTGCAAACGTAAAAGAGAGTGATACTACACGGTTTCCCAGACTGAAGTAGGCGGAATATTGTTCGAACCTGCGACTTGGTGGCTAAGGGTCAGATGTCCTAACCATTGAGCCACCGTTCTATTTCGAAACTAATAAATAAAGGACTGGCAGTAATTAGTCATCAGATTAGTATTTTGGTCGGCAAAATGAAATGTAATATTCTCGACAAGTTGGAGTAAAATAAGCAAATAAAAAGTCATTTACAAAATGCTCATTAGCGTGTTGATATTGTTTAACATGAAAACAATAAGCACAAAATAGAAAGGAAGCTGAATTTATATGCAGATATGAAATCTGAATTATAAGGCTAACTTATTTAGTTTGTTGTTGAAGTAAAACAGTTTGGAATAACCAGTGGGAATTGAATTTTTATATATAACTATAAAACAAGTGAGAAATCTAAAAAATGAAAAACAGAAATAGAAAATTTATGACCAAACATGAAATGAAAACAGTTAGACAACTAATGAAAACTGAAGGAGCACTTGTTAGTTAGTCATAAGTAACGTAAAACCTAGCAACTATTTGCATCAGTTCAAGTTCTTGTACCACAGCAATATACTGAGATGAAGTTACTAGGACAAATACCAGAATAGAAGAAGCAGTAACAATATCAGTCCTAGTAGAAGGAGAGCTGGACAAATGTTTTATTTTAGTCATAGGGATTAAAGTCAGGATCACTGACTTTCACAATAAGCACCTCTATTTAACCGTTGAATAAGTATCTGGCGACAGGTAAAACTTTCGTATGTTCTCTCAATGCGATTAAAAAATTTTTTAAATCGAAAGAATCTCTGGAATTACTAAACCCAACAAAAAACAAGAAAAGGTAGAAGTAGACGGATGAATAAAAATTATTTGAGATTAAGTCAGATAAAATGATATTTTTTAAGAAAAGACATGATAAGGATGTTTCATAAACAATACACGTATACACATAAAAATGATGAGTGAAATGAAGAACAAGCATAGATTTGAAATGCAACACGGTTTAAAATCTTTGCGTAGTGTCTGTCGAATAAATATGTCAACTGAAGTTATAAAAACTACATTTTACAGAGCACATTAGTTCTAGCCCTTCGTTTTAAAATACTTTGCTTTTGTCCAAACCCACTTCATCTATCTTTGTTGTCGTTAATCAACACTTACTTGAAAGCCCCCAGACGTTAGACCCTTCAACTCTCTTATCGTTTTTGTTTTAAAAAGGCAACTCGTCCATATATATATGACATGTAGAGAATGAAATAATAGTGCATGAAATAGTATGACCACATTTAAATAGGGGAAATTCATTAAATTAATTCAGCACATAAATAGGCCGGAATCTATAACTACTAACAAACTATAACTATAAATGTTATTTTCAATACTAAAGAAAAGCCAGGCATGAAGAATGTATTTAGTTTAAAGAGAAATATTCAAATTGGACAGAGAAAATCACAAAATAATATTGAAACTTAGTATTCCAGAGAAGACATTGTCGAAGAAAAGAATAGATTTGCACTACTATTATGAGCGATTTAGATACATGTTGTCACCCGAGATCCATAATAACAGATTATGATTTAATTAGCTACCCATTTAATCTACAAGAAATTATTATTAGTATTTATCATCCATGGTGTTAATTAAAGTCCTTGTTTGACAAATTTATATTCTATATTTGACTTCGGAATTTTATGATTCACGAAGAAACAAACTTCGTGACACGAGCATTCATTTACTACTCCAATATTGTGATGACTAGTTTCACACCAATATTCGCAAAATTAACAGATAACTATGTTATTTATTTGTAAAACACAAGGAAATCTAATATACAAGATATTTGATTTTCAAATGCAGATTAACAATTAATTATAGATTTGTGTACATAGTTTTAAGCATATTATTTGTGTAGGAGCGAGTAATAAAATAGAGCGGTTGACTAAAAGTAAAAGTAATGCGGCTTATAGTCTGTAACTCACTGATCAAAGATCGATGACATTACTTACTGAAACTGCCATCACTACTTTTAATCTTATGTACGTACACGTAGTACATTGGTATTATTGAAATCATTTAAATGTTTAACACAATTTGTTTACAAAAATGGAAGTAATTTTTTTCATTTTTAAGTGCTTGATAACATACTTAGCATTATAACCGTAATAATCATGATAATAAATAGTTTAAGATTGGAACGGAAGAACTTGGTACTTAAATAGGTCCATTATTAGTTTATAACGACTAAATACACAAATTAAGGTTACATAATCGTATTGTAGTCATTCACAATGTTGTAAAATGAAAATTCCAGAGCAAAGTTTGAAAATATAGATCAGTGTTGACACCCGTTGATTCAGCGATCAAATTTCAAAGATAATAAGAAATCAGTTTTTAATGACTGAGTGTCCAGTAGTTTGAAGATTGGTCGATATCAGTTTTTAAATACAATGTTATTAAAACGTAATTAAAAAAACAAGAATAATGACGAATAAGGATATACGTACCGCATCTAAATCAACATGTTTTTGAGTAAGCTGTTGACGTAATGAACGAATTAGTATTTTCTGACGGTCTATAACTTCTTTAAGGCGTATCATAAGTTGTATTTCCTCGACATTTGTAGAATCTAGAGAGTAAATAAATAAATAAGGATGCTGAACAATGGAACGAAATGGAGAACAGTAAAATCACCTTCCTAAGTGAGTGAGTCAATCATGTGCAACGTAGAGCCTTACACATATGCGCATTCGTTCAATTTGTTATACTACACAGGGAGACAAAAATATCAAGGAAGATTCTAAAGTAGTAAATAGAGTAGCAGCATCAATAGTGGTAGAAAAGATTATGCACAGAAATAGAAAAAGGTAAATGGAGATTTCAAGACTCAGGGAAGACAGAACGAATGCACCTCGGCCATTGAGAACTATCTTGAGCCATTTCATCCAAAGTCTCTAACATTTTTAAGTATTTATAATAAGTTTAGTATAGTAAAATTTACTAAGCTAAAATATAATCACTAACATAGGATTTTTGTAAATACTAATTGCTTTTTGTTAACCTCTATCATGAGCGGATATCACTTAGAGAACTGTGGAAAAGTAGATGAAATTGGATAGTCAATCTAGAGTACAATGAAATTCAGTAGTGGGTATCAACAACTTAATAAGGAACGGGACCTAGGACCTTCAAGTTTCACAGTAAATAGTCATGTGTACTCATCATCGCTGGATCAAATAATTGAGTTAAACGTTTTTAATACACTCTGGTTCCCAGTTATTCTTTAAATAGATTCAGTCAGTGTTCAAATATTTAAATTAATTTAAGAACGGTGTTTGTATGCACGGTCCAGACAAGCCAAGCATCACAACGACTCACTGCCATTTTATTTCATTGAAAGCAAACGAATCAGTGGATGGTACTGACAATTTAATAAAACTTCATTGAGTCCAGCAAGATATCTTACACTCAATTGAACTGTCATTATATCTTCTTTTATAGAAGAATATGTTTATAAGTGCGTTAAGTCAGGCAGATATGCGTCAAAAATTAAGGCTGAAATAATGGGATCCAAAATTTTCCGATAATTATCGTCAATATCAACTTCTAATTGGGTTTATAAATTTATAAGGATTCTGAGATAAGTCAAAAGTTATATTGAGTTTATAATTACAAAGCAAGTTTAGGATGCTACTACAACTTAGAGGATAGTGTGAATTTTTTTTCGAAGTTAATGGCAAGTTAGAATGAAATCTATAAATACACATGTATATTATGGATTTTTAGAAACTTTAAGGGTATGACCTTACTTGCAGAACAAGCTGGAATCGGTGAATGGTTAGTCGATGCTTCATTATCTTCAATTGCATTTTTAAGTTGTTTGTTTTCTTCTTTTAACTTCTCAATTAGTTGGGAAAGTTCCTGAACTTCAGAATGCCATGTCTCCTCAATTTGTTCCAGCTCCTCAAAGAGTAATGACAAGGAAATTTGTCTTTAATCAAATCTTAGCAGTACAACTTAGAGGTTAATGATTTGATTATTCGCTATAATACTATGCAAAAGTTAATTTCTGATTACTTGAAACAAGGTGTTAAGAGCAGATTTACAGTTCCTGACACGAGTTGTGTATATATTAGATACCAAACGAGCAATAATTTAACGGCACTTTAACGATACTCAAAAATGCACATATACTTGTAACAAAACGAAATTTCCTGGTAAAAAGCCTTTAAGTGTCACAACATATGGAAGGCATTTAAAAAGCTACTGATACGATACGTCTTACACGACCTCATAATATAGACAAAAGCATTAAATTTCATTGAAGGAATTGTTACTTTGAAGTAACTAAGTGGGAATTCGCAGTTTAAATGACGGAATAAATGTGGTACGAATCTCGACTGGGAACCAAATATAATTTGTTATATCTCCAATAGCAAACTACACAGTTTAATAAAACAGCCAATAAATGCTTTCACTTTACCATAAATAATAACATCGGTTATCGGATTTTCAATAATTTCTCCAAAGTTCACTGTTCACGTGATTAAATAGGCAAATACGAGTTGGTTATAACAATAGGAATATAATACCTAATCAATCTGTTGATGATAAAGATTTCATTGCGGTACATCTAACATTGTCTATGTTGTGTCATAAGTTATAACCTGGACCTTACCACGACGTAGTTCGAAATATATTAACGCAGTAATGAACGAAATAAGTGAACGCGATTAGTGGACGTCCGCAATCTCATTTCAACACTATGTCTTTAATATTCGACTAGTCCCTATCTATCAAGAGAGACAGCCGAAGTGCGAAGAATATATATTCTATCGAGAGATAGAATTTCTTATATAAATAAACTTTTTAGTATTTAATAGACGTTTAAACAACTCTGACTTTAAACTGATTTTACACTAAATACATGTCAAATATGAATGAAATAATTACTAGAATACAGTAGAGTTACGTACTGAAATAATTAACAACAATTTATAAAAATATAATCGTGTTAACTGAGAGATTAGCACACTGGGAGATCAATAATTTTACTTTTGTTCGCTTCTTGATATCAGTTCAATATGCAATAATAATACGCAGAAATCTTCATTGACATGATTTCCTAGGATTTATTCATGATGCTTATTATTAAGCCTATATACACCAAATAAAAGGAAACACGTCGAAACAACTGTAAAAAAACCAACTGTGGTAGACAGCTGTTTAACAGACAGGTAGCCTATATTGCTGAGTCATGAGTTACATAAGTGAATCTCAAAGCTCATTGCCAATTATCGTGATCTATCTAACACTATATAAAGTGCGACACAATGTCCAGTTATACGTACGAAATGAAATAATAAAAATATGAGAATGTAATATTCATTCTTTTGAATCACTCAGGATTTTTAAATTGCCCAGTTACTTATTCATCGGCTGTAAGGATTGGAAAGAACGTAAACCTACCTTTTTATGCCTCTTTTGATCTTCTTTACGTTCCAACTTTTCAAGTTCTAACCGGTGTACGGCAGTTTGAAGGGTAATAATTTCTCTACCTTCAGACTCAAACTTTGTTGCGAAATCTTCCAATTCTTCAAGGACGCTTATCACTTTAGGCATTAAGTTGGACACTGAGTACGGCCCATATTTATCAATGATAGACTCAAATTCTTTACCAATTGAAGCAGCTATGTCGTAAACATCGAGAACAGATATAGACGGTGTAGATGGACGATCACTTAGTGCTTCGGAGGGAAAAGTAACAAGGGTTTTATTTACACCCTCCAGGCTGAAGCGACGAGTAAGCCTGGGGGAGTTATCGGGATGGGACAACAGTTTGGATAAGCTGAATGTAACGGAAAAAAGTGGAGGACAGCATAATTTTAATGTCAGTACTTAATTTTCCAAATTATAGTAACGTATTTATGAGTATCAGTGAGGCATATATTTGACTTTTTGCAAAGATTTATAGGATTGTCAGCTAAATTGACGCTTTCAATTAGGGAACTTCAGTTATTGTCCAAGTTCATTCCAAATTAAATTGAGCGAGAGCCAACTTAATACATACAAGTTGGATAGAAAATAGGAGCACGTCGAACAATACAACTAAGATTTCGCTTATCTTAAAGAAACAAACTGGTGATGAGAAATACAAATAACCTTGCAGTAAGATAAAATATTTGTTTAAACACATAAACATTGGTACAAGGGGGCACCAAATATATATGTGCCACATAATAACAATGAGGCCAGTAGTGGTTAACATATGGTCTTCTATTAGTTGTTTTTGATATCATACTAAGATAGTAAGCTGTACAACTTTTATTAACCCGTTTAAGGCGTCTTGGAGTATCAGAAGACGCTAATCCATCATGGTTATTACTGATTTCGTGGTACTATGTTACAAAATGACCACCAGCTTGAATTCTCAACCCAGTACTACAAGTAGTGTTCCATTTGAAAGTCATGTTGGTAAGGTACGTAAAACATGACATAGTTGTTCATGACGGTGTTCCAAGATGGGATAATTGGTGCACTATCTCCTTCATAACCCAACACACACTAAAGTGAACAGGAATTACTGATGCGAAATTACACTGTAAACTCTACATCGATTGGGCTCCTCTGTAGAAAGATGGTAACCTTAAGAAATAATTGGGTAAACTGATTACCAGAAGTAGTCCTATAATAAAATGAAAATCAGAAATTTGCTTCGATTTTTACCCAGGACTACTGATTGTCGTGAACTCGGCTGACAGTTCACCACGATAAATGTAAGACATTATGAATGCCTTAGGAATCAATCGAGTGACGAATCCCTTAGATTCTTTCTTTACAGTATAGCTGCGATAAAAATCAATGTAAACAAAATCTATCTCTTGGATTTATTTATCGCTCATACAGGGGGAATACGTAACCCCATACGATTGCTATAGTAATGAAAAATATGAATATCTTAGCTCTGAGTGAAAGCGCACGCTACTAGTTGATTTCGCGAATCACACATACATCAAATGAGTATGAAAGTACATATTTGATCATATTAAGGAATCATGGAAGAGAAAATGAAGGTTTTGGAAACCTGGTAATCCCCTAGGATTTTATATTATCGAAATACAAAAACGTCTTGGATGTTCAGACTAACGGATGGATCCAAACAGAGAATTATTTCAAAGCCACATCGTAAACATAATAATACAATTTTACTACTAATTCTTCATGAATTCTCTTTAACTAATAAATTAAGACAATTATGATCCAAAAGTCTTTCAGTCATAAGTTAGGATTTGCAAACACTAAGAGATACTAGGAATATGGAACATACATTTTACGAAAGAAATATGTGACCAAACACCAGACCGAAGAACTTGGTAACCTTGATAATCTGTAACGCAACACTCCAAATAAACGCTGAATTGCTACAAGTGAATCAAATGAATTTGGACGGAATAGAAGAAGCTTTCGCATAACGGGCTTCCGTGTCTAGTATCAGTGGATCGCCGATACCTTCCGGCAGGAAACAAGGTATAATAACAATAATAGAGGAAAAACGAAATTGGTAAATCATAGTAAGTTATTGTCCTTAGTCCTTGAGAAGTCTTCAGTCTTCAGTCTTCAGTAATAAGGATAGGAGGTCTGTCGACCTATATTAATCCTTGCAGTTTGTAATACTGTGGAGGTCCAATCTCGTTTTGAATATATTAACAGACGGTGCTGATATTACGTGTTCCAGTAGGGAATTCCAGTAATTCACTACTCGGTGCGAGAAACGGAACTCCAGACGTAAACGGTTTGATCTCGGTTTTTGAACTTTCTTCGAATGTCCTCTCAAATGATCGGTTCTAGACGGAAGCAAAAGATAAGACATGTTAGTACCAAGGTCATCGTTCAGTATACGATAAGCCAATATTAGATCACCCCGTACTCTACGGTAAGATAACGGAAATAAGTTAAGGTGTTTCAGTCTGTCTTCATAAGACAGGCCAGCTAGACCTTGTACCATCTTAGTAGCTCGTCGTTGGACTCTTTCTAGCATATCTGCTTCATATTTGAAACAAGGACTCGCTGCTTGAATCCCGTATTCTAAATGTGGTCGCACATAAATCGGGTATAGTAATCCAAACATTTCATCATCTAAATACTGAAAAGACCTACGAATTGACCATAATACCCTATAGCCCTTTGCAGCAGCAGCCTTACAGTGACTAGTCGTTTTGAGATCATTGCTTAATATAACTCCTAAGTCTTTATAGTTTCTTGCTTTGGGTAGCACGAATCCACGTAGTGTATAGTCATACGATTCATCATAGTTATTTAACTGCATCACTACACTCTTATTAGGATTTACTTCTAGTGACCACCTGTCTAACCATGCCACCAATGAGCTAAGATCGTCCTGTAATACTATTCTATCTGACATACTATGTATGGGTCTCCAAATCTTTATGTCATCAGCGAAGAGTAGAACGGATGATTTCGCTACAGTTGGCAATTCATTTACATAAAGTAAAAAGAGAAGAGGACCTAGGATTGTGCCTTTGGGAACCCCACGTTTTACAGGTATCCACGAGGAGGGAGCCCCATTAACCCTTACCCTTTGTCTCCTGTCATGGAGAAAGTTAATTATCCAATCGACGACTGTGTTATGGATTCCAAAACGTTTCAGTTTGAATTTAAGACCAGAGTGTGAAACCTTATCAAAGGCTTTACTTAGATCTATGAAAATTACATCCACAGAAGCATTCCGATGCTTTGCCGCAGCCCACTCTCCTCGTGCAATGAGAAGATTTGTCAAGCAAGATAGGCCTTTCCGAAAACCATGTTGTGCCCTGGAGAAAATATTTTGCCCTTCAACATAGTTTATAACAGCTATCCGAATGATTTTCTCCATCAGTTTCACAACTGCACTAGTTAAGCTAATGGGTCTATAGTTACTAACTAAATCCCTACTCCCAGCCTTATACACCGGACTTATTATGGCGTCTTTTTAGTCTCTAGGAAGTCTGGACTGTCTCAGAGACATGTCGAATAGTATCGCTAATGGTTCATCAATTTCATCTGATATGGCTTTCATAATCCTAGGATGAATATCATCGGGACCACTGGACTTATCAGGTTTGAGATGCTGAAGTAGCCTTAAAACAGTATCTTTCTCAATGACTACAGGATCCATCAGCGAGCCGTCACGGTCACGATGAATCATTGGTCGTTCCTCATTACCGATAGAAAACACTTTACTAAAATATTCCGATAAAGCTTCAGCTTTTTCGGCATCATTCTCTGCTAAGATTAACGGATTGTCTCGTATCAAAAGTGATGGAATTCCATCGCTTCTCTTAGTTCCCCTTTTTATATACGAGAATAATCGTTTCGGACTATATCTAGAATCCCTAACTAATTTTTTTTCGTATGAATGTCTAGTCTTGCTTATTAACGCTTTACAGGCATTCCTAATCTTACAATAACTGGATCTGTATTGTTCTAAGCCAGTAGAGATGAACATATTCCAGTGATTCTTCCTTTTTCTAAGGAGTTTCCTGACCGTTTTAGTTATCCATGGTGGACTATTATTCGGTCTTCGCGGTACCAGGTATGGTATGAACGGGACGTAACTAGTCTAAATTTACCTTTAAATACTAACCATGCTTCTTCAACTGATATGCTGGTATCTACTAACCAATCTGTCTTAGCAGCGCATTCCTGAATGGCTGATATGTTAGCTTTCCATACATTTGGGCGAGGTGTAACCTGATCGTATAACATGTCCCTAGTTCTAAACGCGAATGACAAAACAGCGTGATCGCTGTTTACTAACGGTGGAAGAATATTTAAGTCGACAATATCCTCAGTCTCATGAGTGATTACCAAATCCAGCAGAGAAGAACCCTGGTTAACATCAAAACGTGTGGGTTGGGATACATGCTGCACTAGTGCATGCTCCATTATTGTTATCAGTAACCTACTATCAAAGGAGTTTATAGATCCTTCTGTGGTCATATCAGTCAAACTAATATCAGGTGCGTTAAAGTCTCCTATTATCAAGCACCTGGTATTATCACTCCAAAGATGAATGTGCTCTAAAACAAAGTCATCAGCTAAGCAGATTGGGCTGCTATAGATGACACCTAGCATAAATGTACTACATCCTATAGCCAACTTACAGCTAATGTCTTCACAAGTGCCGCTATCATGGGACTCGTTAGTAGAGGAGCGGATATTTATGCCATTGGCTATATGTAACAGGACGCCGCCTCATTTTCTACATCCATGTCTATCACTCCTGATGCAATGATATCCGGATAATTCTGGAGTAATGTCTAAGTCATGGACTAACCAAGTTTCTGTCACTGCTACTATGAGTGGCTTTAACCTGTCTACTAGTGCTTCTAGTTCATAGAACTTATTTCGTAAACTATGAGCGTTGGCATATAAAACTCCTAAGTAGAACAGCCTATCCACACAGGCCTTGGTAGCATTCGCTTCCAAGACCTGACTATCCGAAAACTCACTAGTCGGAGATTTTCCTCGCCGTTTTACCGACGGGTTTCAAGTTCAGCTAGTGCTTTCTTCCTTTTTATTCTATCTTCGAGAGACATGTCAGGTCTAACTCGGATGCCAGAATTGTCGTGACAACGAGCGCTACTTAACAAGAGATCCCGTTGCTTCTCCGATCCTAGGATTACCTTAAGGAGTCTGCATGGACGGGGTTCAACATTGTCCTCGGTCCTCTTGCCTATTCTTACCAATTTTTTGACCTGAACTTCTTTGGAGTTATCTGGTAAAATACTACGAATGTATTTTCCTAGCTTTTCTAAGTCATGCGCGTGTCTAATTTTCGGATCAGGGTCGTTTGACTCCCGCAATTTTCTCACAATAATATTCGACGTTATTAGATTTTTCTTCTCAGTCACACCAGGATAGGTTTCATTCTTACCTTCAGATCTTGGTAGTGCAATTTGTGGCTCACAATTTGAGTCCACCAGTGAGTTACTAACTACCTGTGTACTGCTTACAGCTTTTTTCTTTTCGTTTCGTTTCCTACGTACCGTAGTCCACTTTTCATCCCTCACAAAACTGGGACTATTTGGAACGGTGACTATTTTATCCAGATCTTCGGTTCCCATTAAAGGTGCATTATTAACAATGCCAGTACCAGGTGGTACTACTCCCTCTGTTAATGTCAACGAAGATTCCACTTTCACGTCGGTCATAGTCGGTTGTCTGAGGCGTAACAGCAGGTACTACACTGACACATTCGTCGCTGTCAGTGCCCGTGTTGTCAGCGCATATGCCATCCTTCTTTTTACAGCCCAAAGCCAACAGACTCATAGCCTCCTGTATTAGTAATGCCTTGTTGGCACAGCAAAACATGCAAAGCCAATGTGAGTTAGGCTTCGAGCATCTTTTGTATGCGGTGGGATTTAAGCGGGTGCACATTTTGTGGAACCACTTATGGCATTCGTCACACTGCATCCCCTCTTCCACAAGGAACAAACATTTTGGTTGCCCACATTTGTGAGTCTTACCAACCACTGTAATTCGATTTAAAAGGTTTAAAAACAAAAATGATAAAAATGTGAACACAATTGTTAGTCAAGGACTAAAAACAGGTACTCAGGAAACAAAATGTAGCAAAAATTTCAAACTTTAACCAAAGAACTCTTGGTTAAAGTCGACCAAAAAAGCATTTTAGTGCAATAAGTACCAAAAGCAAGTATAATCACCACAAGTACAAAATTCACTGCTCTTTTTGAAATCGCGGTCACGTTTCCTCTCAAAGGACTCCCGGGAAGCGTTTGACTACTCTTAAGGAGTAGAAGTTGTGTCCAAAGTCCGTTCTGCTATGTTGTATCTCCAGTTTCTGGGCGTTACCTCTAAGGTTTGTGTTGAAGCTAAACTTAAGTAGGTGTTTAAGGGGATGTCCAGAAGTGTTAAGGACACTGTAATCCATTAAAGGGTCACCTACAAGACGCCTTTACTATAATGGGTAAAAGTTTAGTGAATGGAGGCGCTCTTCATAAGGCTTGAATTTGAGTCCCCGAACTGATTTCGTGCCTCGCCTTTGGATACGCTCCAGAGTGTTCTTATCCTTTTGGAGTGAGAGAGGAAATACTATTTTTCCATACTCTAAATGGGGACACATGAAACTGTTGAAGATTATGTGGAACGTTCTCCCGTCAAACTGACCAAAAATGGGTTTCAATGTTGCCAGTGCAAGATTCGCTTGAAAGGCATTTTTGTCACAGTTAGCGTAAGACTTCAAATCGTAGGACACCAACACTCCTAAATCTTTTTCAACTTGGGATACTCCTAGAGAGGAGTTTCCTAAGTTGTAACTGTAATCTGCAGCATGTCTCAGATGGACTACTTTACACTTTGAAGTGTTAAGGGTAAGTCCGTTGTCATCTGCCCAACTTCCAAGTCGAGTCAGATCCTCCTGAAGTGCCAGCATATCCTATTGGTTGCGT